CTGAATTGAGCCTGAATACTGTCCATCCCCCCCACATGCTGTATAATCCTACAGGTTTAGCACTCCCCATGATTATAATAATGATGAACACAATTCTTATTTTAATCATGGGAAAACAGTGAACCATGAGGGTCATACATTGGATGGTTCCAATTCTTTAGATAAAGATTATTATAATCAAAGTGCTAAACCCACAAGGGTCATACAGCACTGCAGGGTAGGGTGTGCGAATTGTGTAATATGCCTGATCAGAAACTAGCAAGGATGGAGAGTATAACGGAGGCAGAGTCAGTAAGGGTGGTGAGGAGTGCTAAAGTACAATCGAGGGTTGTACAATAAATCTGCTGTCAAAAAGTCGAAGCCCAGCTACCCTCCTTAGATCAAGAACTCTTCACTAGTATCAGGTATTACAAAAAATGCGATTCTAAAAGCTTAGAGATCTCCAGTGTATACTAGAAAGGACTGCCCTTCTAGCACCCAGCCTGTAACGGGTTTTGTAAAAATTAGTCGGGATCCTGCTCCAATTTTTTTTTTTTTTTTTCCCACGGGGGCCCGTTCCCCACCAAGGCGGGGGTGGCCCAAAAAAAGAAAAACTTTCACCATCTTTCGCCCCATCACTGTTTGCCAGAAGATGCTTTACACTACGGGTTTTTTAAAACGGGCAACTTTAAAACCCCCCCCCCCCTTCAGAGGGCGGGGCCACTGTACTTCCCTTTCCCCAGGACCAAGCCCGGGCCTTTGCCGGTTTCCCTAAACCCCCTTCATAAATTTTACTTTGCCCCAAAATTACCCCTTTTAAAATTCGGGATGATTAAATTGTGCTTCAGGATTAAAAACGGGTTTAGGCTACAAAACTAAGAAAATAAAATTTTAAAAAATTTTTTAAGAAAACCGTCTAGAAGTACATGGGACCCCCGCCTTAAACGATCACCCCCAAAATGGGGCCCAAAATTTATGTAAGTGTATTTCACCTTTTTGGTACTCGCCAATTTGTGGTTGGGGGGTCGAGTAAAGCCCCTCCCCCAACCCCCTTTCGGGATTGTTTATTTGGTCCTCTCTCTCCCTCCCCCATGAGCTCAAATATACCTCCCCTTTTAAAACTATGTATGGTTCCTGCCTCCCTACATCACTTTCTGGCTATTCCAGGGCCCCCTGACTACTCTATGACTGAAGAAATACTTCCTAAATCCCTATGATTAAATCGGGAGTCTTAAAATTTCCCCAATTTTAAATCTTGTGTCTGTGCCCCAATCTCGGGAAAAACACCCCTTCTTTGCCCACCTGGGTCTTTTTTCTCCCGCAGAAATTTTATATGTCGTTTCATGTCCCCCCTGACCCCCCTGTCCCCCCAGTGTGTGGGCCCGTTTTCCTAAAACCTTTCCCTTCATGGGGCCAATCCCCGTAGTTTCGGGGACTAGTCTTGTTGAAAAACCTTTGATTTTCTAATTTCTTAAACGTGCTTGATTTGGTTGGATTCCAAACGGGTTGTGCATACCCCAATTTGGGGCCCTGAGGGTAGATGGTATACGGGAGTTTAAACGAATCCTTACTGAGTTGGGAAAAACGCTTTCCGTGGGTTTTTGCCAGGTGCCCGTGCGGCGCAGTTATCTGATTGATGTGCCCCTCAAGAGATTGCTCGGTGTTAAACCCCACCCCCAGATCTTTTTCCTTGAGTGAGGTTTGCAGTCTTTGGCCATCAAAACCTATTTTGGTGTCTGCGGTTTCTTTCCCCCTTCCCCAATTTTTCATGACTTTGCTTTGCAGGGTTAAAATTTAAAGGGGGCCAGTTGCTTTTTGGGCCCCGGCTTGTAGCCCGTCCAGGTCTCTTTGTAGTCCTGCCTGATCCTCGTCCGATTTGATTCTTCTCATTAACTTCACATCATCTGCAAACAAGGACACTTCTGAGTCTATCCCTTCCGTCGTATGGGAGACAATATTGGAAATGGTAGGGGGAGGATGAGTAAAGATTGGAACTGTAATGGACTGTACCAAGGTAGGGGGGGACGAAAGGGTGGAGGGAACTGGAGAAGCGTGGAAGGGGACAGAAGAGGCAGAAACCTGGGAGGTGGCAGAAGAGGAAGAAACTTGGGAGGGAACAGGGGAGGAAGGTACAGTATGAGGAGGAGGGTGAACCTCTACACCTGGTTCTTCCCCTCTCACTGGCTCTGTTGCAAGTGTAGAGGTTCACCCTCCTCCTCCTCATACTGTACCTTCCTTCCCTGTTCCCTCCCAAGTTTCTTCCTCTTCTGCCACCTCCAGGTTTCTGCCTCTTCTGTCCCCTTCCACGCTTCTCCAGTTCCCTCCACCCTTTCGTCCCCCCCTACCTTGGTACAGTCCATTACAGTTCCAATCTTTACTCATCCTCCCCCTACCATTTCCAATATTGTCTCCCATACGACGGAAGGGATAGACTCAGAAGTGTCCTTGTTTGCAGATGATGTGAAGTTAATGAGAAGAATCAAATCGGACGAGGATCAGGCAGGACTACAAAGAGACCTGGACAGGCTACAAGCCTGGTCCAGCAACTGGCTCCTTAATTTAACCCTGCCAAATGCAAAGTCATGAAGATTGGGAAAGGGCAAAGAAGACCGCAGACAGACAGACAGAGAGAGAGATAGATAGATAGATAGAGAGAGATAGAGAGAGAGAGATAGATAGAGAGAGAGATAGATAGAGAGAGAGAGAGAGAGATAGATAGTAGAGAGATAAAAGAGAGATGGAGTAGAGAGAGAGAGATAGAGATAGATGAGAGAGATAGAGTAGTAGAGAGATAGATAGAGAGATATAGATAGATAAAAGAATAGAGAGATAGATAGAGAGAGAGAGATAGATAGAGAGAGAGATAGATAGAGAAAGAGAAGAGAAATAGAGAGAGAGAGAGAGAGAGAGAGAAAATGAGGAGGTGGAAGATGGGTAGGAGGTGTTAACGGACCTTTTTTTGACTTTTGAGAAGTAGAGGGACATTAAGGAGGTGTCATACGAGATCTCGTCGCTACCAAGGCTTGTGAGGGAGAACACGAAGAAGCGAGATCAGACTGAGGCGTTGAAGTAGGGACGTCTGAGCCTAGGACAGCAAAAGAATTAGATACAGGAGTGACTATGGGAGAGGTAACCACAGAGGTGGTTGCAGAAGATGGGATCCCAGAAGTGGGGGGACGTTTTGAAACACGGGAATAAGAAACACGAGGTAGTCTCCCTTGGAGGCGGAGATGAGAAACTGCCATGGCATAAGGGAGACCTTCTGCCTCTTTGAGGTAACGGATTTCCCGCTCATTTAAGTAGACTTGACAACGGCGAGAGTACGAAGGTGAGCCTCATGACAATTAAGGCAAGAGGGAGGTCGGTTGCAAGACATATTAGAATGGTCATCGGCACCACAGACCGGGCATTCGGCGATAGATCTGCAATATTTCGCTGGATGGCCAAATCGCCAGCAATTTCTACACTGTTGCAGTGTAGGGATCACCTTTTTAACTTGTAACCGATGTCCTGCTACATAAACTGAGGATGGGAGTTCACGGCTGTCAAAAGTTAAACGAGTTACATTGCTAGGGTATCATCTCCACCCGCGGGCAGGAAGAACATAAGTGTCTACCTTGAGGATTGGGAGATCTTGGAGTTCCAGCTGTTCAAGAATGTCAGTGCCACATGTCTGGAAATTTTGTTGAACTATGGTATGGGGCAGAATGACGGTACCACTACAAGAATTGAGGGAATGATGTTTTTCAATAGTGACAGGAACAGTATCGATATGGGAAAGACGAGAAAGCTCATGAGCCTGGGTAGCATTCTGTACGGTGATGATGTGCGTACCGCTCTTAAAAGCATGAAAAGAAATATCTTTACCAAGATGGTGTAGAAGTGCCTTGCCAATACTGTGGTCAGAAAGATAGGCAGTAGAGGAAGTCGGTCGTAATGTGAAGAATTTAGTCCATTGTGCAGTCTGAAGCTGTATAGCCCTTGTGGCTTAGCGCTTCTTTTTTGATTATAATAATAATGTGCAGTCTGAAACTGAGCGTGGAAAGGTAGTGAAGGACGTGTCAATCTTTTCTGAGAAGAACGAGAAGGTGGAGAAGTATCATCAGCAGGTAATTGTCGTTGGTCCGACGTGGAACGGGCCGGCGATTCGAAAATTGCCGCACCGTAGAGGGAGAGGCCGGAAGCATAGTCAGAGGAGAGCGAAGGTCAGATAAATCGAAGGAGTCAGTCGAGGCCTCAGTACCTGAAGCGGGTGAGGAAACAGCACCGGCAAGAGGTACAGAGGCATGAGGAGTGTCCGAAGAGTGGTCCAAAGACGAGGCGGGGTCAGAACGGGGTGCGGTATCAAGAAGGGGCCCAGGGGTAGCAGGTTCATGGACTAGGGCTGCCATGGTTAGGTTAGTTTTCTTTTTTTTTTCTTAAAAACAAAAAGGAAGAAAAAAAGAATAAAAAAAGGGGGGACGAGGGAGGGATAGTTCCTAGGAGGATAGAAAGGGCCAGAAATCTCCCTCCGCACCCAAGAGGACCTCAGCACCGCAAGTAGCGCAGATGCAGCATGGAACCCATGCCATACCCTACCCATCATGCCAGTAAACCAGCAATCCTGGATAGCAACCTCACATCTGCCGAACTACCTCGGTGGACAAAAGAGAGGGCGGCCGGAAATCCGCCACAAAGCATACCTCCTTCGGCCACCACCCCCGGAATCCGAAAGGTGGCTTCCAGAGATACACCCGTCGCCCGAGAGACACCCAAAGCCATCCTCTGTGTTTGGTGTTTGCTGCGCTGTTTACTCTAGCTGGCGCTGTTTAACTGGTGCTCCCACAAGGTACTAAGTGGTCCCAGATTTTTTTAATACTTCGCAGTGTGTTAAGACCCGTTCTATGCTGACCAGGCATCTCAGGCCAATCGTGCCAAATTTGGAGGCTGGAAAAATAAAACGTTGATCTATGTTTGGGGCACTAGCAGTAAGAATGGAGATCTACGTTTGAACAGTTAAGGGGTTAAGTATATCTTCCTGATAAAGGTATACATGCAAAACATTTAATGCATTTTACAAAGTTCATATTTTTTTTTACCTTGAATACATTCTTAGAATACAATATAAATGCACAAGTACAAAATAAGAAACCAAAGACTAGGTGGGGCTTGAATCCACAGCAAGTGACTCGTAAAACTCCAGGCCAGTGAGTAAGCCACTCTCCTGGAGTTCGACTCACTCGCCATGGGTTCAAACCCGACCCATTATGTGGTTTGTTTGCAACTATGTTACTATAATTTTGAGTTACAAAATGAGCATGGCAGAATACCCTTTTACTTTATATACATGGCAAGCTATTCAATATAAACTGTAAGTACTGTATAGTATCTGCATTAGGGAAATGTACTCAGAACTAAATACTAAATTGTTAATTCAAGACCCTGACTAGTTTTCCTTCAGCAAATTTTTTACAGGGCAGTAATGAGAATTGCCAACTACTAAGTAACCTGCAATGAGGTTATTAGAAGTTGCTTCTTTGTAGCATGATAAATTTTCCGATCTTAAATTCCTTAATGATAAAATCTATTCTAATAAAGTTCTTCATTTAATTTTTAAGTGCAACTATTCTTCCAAGATGAGCAACAAAATTTTTGGCTTCAAATATTCATCCAATAATCATATTTGTTACACAATCAATATAAAATGTATTTAATGATGGTACAGGAGATCCATGGAAAGATGGCTCAGAAATTAATTTGCTGATTATCTCAAAATAGTACTAACTGGTAAAAAAAAAAAAAACTGACATAACTGTTAATGTAAAATAATCCTAGGACACATGCTTTGAAATTCATATATTTTGAGCACTCCTTGTCAAGAAATAAATCAAAATTATCTTTCTAATTTTATGATTTTTTTTTATTAACTATTACTTGCACAGTACCACCACTCAAGTGGAGTGGTAGTACTGGAGGAAATAGTTTAGTGCATATATACTGGATAAAATAGCTAAACAAAGATAATGTAAATTACATATAGCGCACAAAAACCTTATGGAATGGCCTGATATATGATATTAATACTATACAATAATACCAAACTGGCAATTCTCAAAGTTAATAGGAGCAAATTTTTGTTTGTAAATTTGTAAATTGAGCAAAACAATTTTGGTTTTAAACATCTAACAATGCTGAAAGTTTAGTTACATTATTCTTGCTGTCTTATGATGTAGGAGTTTCAAATGCCTAATGATATGCAGTCTGGTCACACTCCCCTAAGCTTCATCAGTGTTGGTGTTCAGAAGTGGGATGAATTACATGCAGTTGTTCTATATTCTTACGGACCTTTTCTGTGCACTGCTGCAAAAAAAAAAAAAAAAATAAAATAAAATAAAAATATAAATAAATAAAAAATAAGTATGTACAATACATATAAGGTGCATATCTTTGCCTTTTTTTTTTTATCTACCTACTTGCATGTTATGACAGTGCATAACATTTTATAACTTCTTATTACAGCATTTTTTTTTTCAACAAGTTGGCCATCTACTGAGGCAGGGTGACCCCCCCCCCCCAAAAAAAAAAAAAAAAAAAAACTTTCATTGTCATCCAACACTTTCACCTCACTCACACATAATCACTGTCTTTGCAGAGGTGCCCAGATACAACAGTTTAGAAGCATATATGTATAAAGATATGTAACATATCCCTCCAAACTGCCAATATCCCAAATCCCTCCTTAATTTAAAGTGCAGGCATTGTACTTCTCATTTCCAATACTCAAGTCTGGCTATATAAAAATAACCGGTTTCTCTGAATCTCTTCACTAAATATTACCCTGCTCACACTCCAACAGCTCGTGTCCTAAAAACCATTCGTCTCCATTCACTCTTAACACGCTCACGCACGTTTGCTGTAAGTCCAAGTCCCTCGCCCACAAAACCTTCTTCCCTCCAACCTTTTCAAGGATGACCTCCCATCCCGCCTTCTTTATTATCATTCCTAAGATGGCATCTCGAGACATAAGACACTCTTACTTATTTTAATGTGTACCTGCACAGCAGCACAGTGTTTAAATTTATTTAGGTACAGGTATACATAAATATAATTATCAGAGTACAGTGGACCCCCGCTTAACGATCACCTCCCAATGCGACCAATTATGTAAGTGTGTTTGTACATGTATGTTTGGGGGTCTGAAATGGGCTAATCTACTTCACAACATTCCTTATGGGAACAAATTTGGTCAGTACTGGCACCTGAACATACTTCTGGAATGAAAAAATATCGTTAACCGGGGGTCCACTGTATATATAAAATATGAAATAACTTTTAAAAACACTTGAAATCTTGGAGTTTCCAGACATAATGGAGAGATGCGGTGCTTACGAAGCTCACGGAGAATGTAAAGCCGGGTGGGGCACGGTGACCGTATTAGAAAGTCAAGTGTGGGGAGCCGTATACAGTAGGGCCCCACTTATACGGCTGGTTAGGTTCCAGGCTACCGCCGTAAAGCGGAAACCGCCGTAAAGTGGAACACCCTTTTTTTCCACTTACAAATGCGTACAAACACTAGATAACAAGTTTACACTAACATATATTAAGTTAGCAATAGAACCAGGCATCAAAAAACAATAAAAAAGTACAATACACACATAGTGCACTCATTACTTACCTTAAAATATTTATAGTCTTAATCTAGGGTGAGACAAGTAGTATTTATTGTAAGAAATCAAGTGTGGTATGTATGGTGTCAGCCGGGTACCATACCAGGCCACCCCACCCACATACATTCTATATTTTAAGCATCCCAGAGCGATAATGTATATACAGTTCACTCATTACTTACCTTAAAATATTTGTAGTTTTTAATGTAGGGTCAGGAGAAAGTAAATGAGATAAAACGAATAAATGAGAGAGAAAAAGGGAATGAGTGCAGAGGGGACAGGGCGCAGAGTTATGTAAACAAACCAGGCGAAGGTAAGTTTTGTAAACAAAGTGTACACGTCATGGTTTGTGTACAAGTTACATTGTGTACAGGTTGTCTCTACATTGATACGGTAGAATAAATAAAGAAGACACTCCCATTCTCATGTAACATCATTTTGAGAAGAAATGATGCTCTGAGTGAAGGCAATGGAAATAAGTCACTGACTTTTTTGGGTTATCCTAGGTTCTCTACACATATGTTGTTATGTATGATAATCTATGTAACTGTATTTGTGTATACCTGAATAACTTACTTACATACATACGAAAGGAATAATTTTCTACAGTTACCCCCAGTAACACATTTTCTCTTATGTTAGATTAGAGAAAATGTTATTCTTGGCATCACTTGTACAAGTTATCTGGCTACCACATCTCATATTTATGTTTATTTATTATATTGTAGGGTGTATTTATCATCTATTTATGTTATGTATTGTGTTTATTATATAATTTTGAAAAAAATATCATGGATGGATTACTGAAAATGTGTATATTAACGTAATATACAACATTTAATGAGACTCGGTGATTATTATTATTATTATTATCATTTCTAATATGGCGTCACTTGTGCAAGTCGTCTGCTACCACATCTCATATTTATGTTTATTTATTCTATTGTGGGGTGTATTTATCATCTTTTTATGTTATGTATCGTGTTTACTATATAATTTTGAAAAAATATCATAGATGGATTAATGAAAATGTGTATTTAACGTAATATACGACATTTAAATGAGACTCGATGATTATTATTATCATTACTAATGTGACGTCTGGAGACATAAAACACTCTTACTGATTTTAATGTGTACCTGCATGCCAGCACAGTATGTAAGTTTATTTAAGTACAGGTATACACAAGTATAATTATCAGAGTATATATAAAATATGAAATAACTTTTAAAAACATTTGAAATTTTGGAGTTTCCAGACAAAATGGAGAGACTTAGTGCTTACTGAGCTCACGAAGAATGTAAACAAACAGGGTGGGGCACGGTGACTGTATTAGAAAGTCAGGTGGGGGGAGCCGTATAGCGAGTTTTGGTCATAATTTGAAATGACCGTATTAGCGAATGCCGTAAAGCGAACCACCGTAAAGCGGGGCCCTACTGTACTGGAATATTCATTTAAACTACAGAAATAAATATACCCGTTTCATTTATGCTAATGTTTTTTTTATTTATGGAAATGTTTTAGTCTCCAGCAGTCCATAGTGTGTTAGAAGTATACTGCTGAATTATCATGTGACCTCTGTTGGTCTGGCAAAATCAATATACCAGCAAAGTCTAGGAAACAAGGGTGCTGGAAAATCAGTGCTGTACCTGTATTACGCATTATCCACTTTTTCAGGCTTGGTGCATACCTGCTAAATTGAAAACTAACCTTAAGATGTCTTAAGAACATCAGTATTAACTAGGTCAGTGACATACAGTATACCCTCTCAAAATGTGTAGGTTATGTTCCTGAAAATTGGCACCTTGTGAAAAATAGGATTATGTGAAGTGAAATATGGGGAAACAGAACCATGTTCCAGGCACTTCCAAATCTGTGAAACAACTCTTTAACATTAGGTAAATACAGTGGACCCCCGGCATACGATATTAATCCGTTCCTGAGAGCTCATTGTATGTTGAAATTATTGCAAGGTGAATTAATTTTCCCTATAAGAAATAATGGAAATCAAATTAATCCGTGCAAGACACCACAAAGTATAAAAAAAATTTTTTTTTTTTTACCACGTGAAATATTAATTTTAATACACACAAACTGACATTTACCTTTACTCAAGATCTGGTGATGATTGATAGGATGGGAGGAGGGGAGAGTGTGGAAGTTGTTAATGTTTAGAAGGGGAATTCCCTTCCATTAGGACTTTAGGTGGCACGTCCTTTTCCGGGGTTACTTCCCTTCTTTTAATGCCACTAGGACCAGCTGACCGTGATGCAGCAACAGCTGACCATGGTGCAGCAACAGCTGAATTTGGTGCAGCAGCAGCTGACCGTGGTGCAGCAACAGAGGATGGTGGTGTAGCAGCAACTGACTGTGGTGCAACAGCAGCTCACCGTGGTTCAGCAACAGCTGACTGGTGCAGCAGCAGCTTACCGTGGTGCAGCAGCAGCTGACCGTGGTGCAGCAGCAGCCGACCGTGGTGCAACAGCAGCTCACCGTGATTCAGCAACAGCTGACTGGTGCAGCAACAGCTGACCGATCTCTGTTACGAAAACAAACTTGCACCTTTTGCAAGAACAGCTTCCTTGATTGCCGTTTTGTTGGCCACAATAGTAGCGATGGTTGATTGGGGTTTGGTATACAACCTGGCCAGCTCCGAGACACGTACTCCACTTTCGTACTTAGCAATTATCTCTTTCTTCATTTCCATAGTAATTTTTTTACTGCACGGTTGGCACTAGAAGTCTTTCTTGAGGCCCATGGTGACTTATTTTGTAGGTACAATCACTAAAAACGCTGTGATAATATGAAATGTACCGATTGTATGTGTGGATGAGACCGCACTGGCTGGCTTGTAAACACTGGCACGTACGGGGCAGCTGAGGACACATGTGGGACGCGTCCCGGATGAATCGTGTGTGGTGGGGTTTTTAACGTGTGGCTAGGCAAAATTTTTGCGTTTAAATGTATCATATGCCGGATTTAATGTATGCCGATGCTATCATATGCCGGGGGTCCACTGTATACAGTTTATCTTTTCTTACATTCTAGTTCCTGTTGCTTGCTGACATGGAATGTGTGTGTATGAGGTGGGGTAGAAGGTGGGAGGGGTTGTATTCATGTGGCTGTATTGTAATTAGCTAATGGATGAACTGGAGTACTTAAGTATTCTATAATACATCTCAATGTAATAGAGCTAATGATGGGACATCATACATTGCTTCTATGTTTCGGAGCAATGCTTCTAGATATGCCAGGGTACTTTTTGGTAAAAGTGGAAATTTACCAATAAAACGTATTGCTTATGTAACTGTTGCCACTTAATAGTTTACCTTCAGGTTCCTCCTTATCCATTGTCTTCTCATTAAAAGCAGATTTAAAATGCTGAAGTTCAAAAGAATAGTCTATCAGACAATTTGGCCAAGTTCAACTGTTAATATCATCAAATTGCAATATGTTTGAAACAAACAAGGCATCTTCTTGCCAGTTCCATACCCTGTTTGCTGGTGCTTGTATATTTGGTGGTGCTGGCATATAGTCAGAATGGCAACTGGTGGTGGCACATGTGGTACTGGTAAGAAATGTAATGGCAGCACAAAAGATCCTAGCTGCAATGGATATATGGTCCACTATTTAGACCAATATCTGCGTGTTAGATAGGAGTGAATGGAGATGAATGATTTTTGGGAACTGAC